TGCAGCTTCCTGCACAGTCCATACAAGCTCACAGAGGGACTCTGGCCTTCCACACAGTGCCTGCCCTCAGAGGCTGGCTGCGACCTTGGCACATGCTCCGTGACATCACAATCTTCGCACTCTGCATGCCTAAAGTCACAGCACTACAGGGACGGTGACAGCAGGTTGTATTCTCAGCTCCAGACCTAGCCTGGCCCTCTTTCCCCACAGCCCAAGCAGTCTCTTGTACCTGTGTCAGGGGAATCTAGACGGTCTTGTTGGAGCAAGTTGCCCTAGAGTGGACACATTCTCACTCTCGGGGCCTCGGGTCTATTGCCCCAGTTCATCGTGCGGAGTTTTTCCTTATTTGCACTGATCTCTCCAGCAGTTGCCACTCGCTTCTGTTGGCACCGGCCATATCCACAGTTGCTTTGTTGGAGACTTCAAATTCTCTCCCACACCTTTCCCCACTGAACTGTGTATTCTCCACATCTCCCTGCTCTGCTTTCTGCTCAGAACTCTCACTGTAAACCTGGAGAAAGGCGGTGAGCATCAGCCATGCCACAGGCCTGATGCTAGGCTATCTTTAAAATTCCCTGCATCAGAAGAATTAGTCCATTAGTTTCTAACTTAGTCCCATTCAGTATTCTGAGACACGGGCAGAATGTAGCCAGCTTCTTTGACAGGCTGTAATCCTGAATGGCCTAGAGCCCAGGTCTCAGAGGAGCCCTATTTGAAATGTCGAGAGTCAAGCCTTCACGGTCTACACTGACCTCTGATCGTGTGAACCGCCTCCAGAGTGGCCCATTAAGCTCCAGTTCACAACAGTCCAGGACTCTCCCATGTTCCTCCCATGCCCCTGTCTAAAGGCCTGACCACACGGTCAGATGCACCACAACAACAGGGCCACCCCAGCCTAGTTTTCTATGGGGTTCTTTTCTCACAATCATGAGGGAAGGCCCAGCTCAGGAGGATGGACCTATCTGGCTCATGGCTCGAGAGGGTACACTGAGTCCCAGCAGGAGAAGCACACGACTGTGCATTTCACATCTTAGGGATCAAGGGGCAGACACTCTAACCAGGACAGTCAGCCTGTGGTCCCCAAGCTACTCCCCCGCCCCCACCATCACCTTCCACCACCAGCTAGGTCCTGTGTTCAAACAACACAACCAAATGTGGGTCAAGTGTTCAAGCACACAGTGAGCTTCATGGAGACATTTCACACTCAAAACACGACAGACAGGACGTGCTGAGAATACTGCCAGGCACAGAGCGGGTTCCCAGAGCATTCCAGGCACCATCCCTGTCCCTGTCCTGACGATGGTATAAGGACCATTTTTTTCTGAGCACACTGAATCTGTCATTCAAGTCTGAGCACTGTGATGTCCTGCTCTCAGGCCATGGCACCAAGCTTCCTGTGTCCCACTGAGGACAAATGCTGCTGGCTCCCTACGGCTGCTGTCCCCTTGCTCACACTCCTTGGGACAGTCTCACAGCGAGCTGAGTCTGTGGTGTCACCTGTGGGTGGCCACAGAGGGTTATGGCTAACAGTTATGGAGCATGGAATGCATTGAGTGTGCAGAAAAACTCAATGACCTAAGTCATAATAAAAAGCTGCAGAAGGCCTGTGTCCCAGGGACATCATGTCCTGAGTTCCTCAGGGAACGAGCACATTCTCTGGTGAGGGTCTTGAGCTCTGTGCACAGCTCTGGCACTGTCTCAGAGTCTCATGGATGTTTTATACTGCTGGCTTCTGCTTCCCTCTGACCTCACCATGACCCAACAGGTACCCTGGAGGGCTACTAGGTGCCCAGAATCTCTCTTCATCTGGCCCCCTTGTGAATGTGGGCGGAACAGTTCCTCAGACAGGCAACTCAGCTGTTGGTGGAGGATCACCTCACCCACAGACACCAGCATCTGGATTGTTAGCATCTGGATTCTTGGTTTGTCATCCCACTGGACCCCAGAACAGCATGGGAAGTTCTGGTGACGATGGCCTTACTCACCCCTTCCCTCACATCCACCGAGAACGCTAAGGAGGCCTCCGTTCTGTGGGAGACTCCGCTGTGTCAGGTCCGAACATTGTCACCCTGCCCACAGTGCTACTCTGCACCTGACAAGAGAGGGCGAGAGGACCCTGGGATGCAGGAGAGCTATGCCTGAGATGGGCATCTGGGATCAGGGCCAGCTCTCGCCAGCTCACCTCCCTGGCACAGGCCATCCAGGATGATAAGTGAACTCCATGTGACCTTAGTCCATGCCTGCCTCCTGCAGCCTGTATGTTCACCCCAACCTCAGGTTTTGACCCAGGACAAGTGACAAGGACCTCCTGTGCTCCAGGAGGACATTGGCTTATGGCTCGGTCAGACTCAGTGTGGTCTCTAAATGCCTAGGAGCCCACTTCAGTGACCATCTTCATTCCCAAGAGGCCCTTGGCTGGCTGCCTACAACTGACCCATTCTTGCACCATGGAGACTTCATTGGACGTCCTCCTTGCCTGCTCCAAATCAGGATGCCTGCCTCCTCTTTCCTAGTCACAGGCCAGCCAGGTTACCCCACTGAGGTCAGAGGCTGGGGGCACAGAGTGCATCCTCAGAGCCAAGAGTCATCTCCCAGATCCTGACAGGTGGCCACCAGGTAGAGAGTGCAGACAGCCCAGGGAGGCCATGTTCCAGGGGTCCCAACAGCCACAGCCCGAGCCGAGTGAACAGCACAACAGTTTATGACTGAGCTCCGCAGAGCACCCTCCAGACTGAACAACAAGGAAGAGGAAGGGCCCAGAGCCTCCTGCAGCAAAACACGCCTGGAGGATAAAAGCCCAGAGCCCAGAGCACCTCACACACACACACTCAACACTCACACAGTCACTCAACACACTCCCAGCTCCCAGCTCCCAGCCAACCCCGCCATGGCCGCCTCCACCATGTCTGTCTGCTCCGACGCCCGCACCAACTCCTCCTGGCAGGTGGACGACTGCCCAGAGAGCTGCTGTGAGCCTACCTGCTGTGCCCCCAGCTGCTGCCAGCCCAGCTGCTGCCAGCCCAGCTGCTGTGCCCCAGCCCCCTGCATTACTCTTGTTTGTACCCCAGTGAGCTGTGGGTCCAGCCCCTGCTGCCAATCTGCCTGCAGCAGCTGCTGCACACCCTCGTGCTGCCAGCAGTCTAGCTGCCAGCCAGCTTGCTGCACTTCCTCCCCTTGCCAACCGTCCTGCTGTGTGCCCGTCTGCTGCACACCTGTCTGCTGCAAGCCGGTCTGCTGTGTCTCCATTTGCTCTCCCTGCCAGCCATCCTGCTGCGTGCCAGTCTGCTGCAAGCCAGTCTGCTGTGAGCCTGTCTGCTGCAAGCCAGTCTGCTGTGAGCCAGTCTGCTGCGGGGCTTCCCCCTCATGCTGCTGACTGTCTAGCTGTGAACCTGATTGCCACCTGTCTGCCCTGACCCATAGTCCTTTTGGGTGTTCTGGGCCCACCCGTCCTTACCCTTCCTCCACTAGTCCAGCCAGGTCTGGAGCCTGAGTGTCCCCCAGCTACTCTCCTGCCTCAGCTCCTGGAAGTGCTGGCTGCTCCGCCTCACCCACTCCCAATCTGGCTGGCTTGATCCTGCTATGTGCTGTGTTACTCTTGGCCTCTGAGCACCAATAAAACCTCTTCTGTCCCATTCCATCTCTGTAGTAACTGTCATACAGAAAAGTGGCTCTGGGGCCTGCACCTGGCTCTGGGGCCTGCACCTGGCTCTGGGGCCTGCACCTGGCTCTGTGGTCTACACCTGGCTTTGTGGTCTGTACCTGGCTCTGGGGCCTGCACCTGGCTTTGGGGCCTGCACCTGGCCCTGGGGCCTGCACCTGGCTTTGTGGTCTGTACCTGGCTCTGGGGCCTGCACCTGGCTCTGGGGCCTGCATCTGGCTCTGGGTTCTTGTACCTGAGTCTGGGCTCTTGCTCCTGGCTCTGTGCTTTGCATCTGGCTCTGGGGCCTGCACCTGGCTCTGGGGCCTGCACCTGGCTCTGGGGCCTGCACCTGGCTCTGGGACCTGTACCTGACTCTGGGCTCTGTATCTGGCTTTGGGCTCTTGCACTTAGCTCTGGGCTCTGCACCTGGCTCTGGGGCCTGCATCTGGCTCTGGGGCCTGTACCTGGCTCTGGGCCTGCACCTGGCTCTGGGGCCTGTACCTGGCTCTGGAACATGTACCTGGCTCTAGGTTCTTGCACCTGGCTCTAGGCTCTGCACCTGGCTCTGGGCTCTTGCACCTGGCTCTGTGCTCGGCACCTGGCTCTGGGGCCTACATCTGGCTCTGGGCTATTGCACCTGACTCTGGGGCCTGTACCTGGCACTGAGCTCTGCATCTAGCTTTGGGCTCTTGCACCTGGCTCTGGGCTCTGTACCTGGCTTTGGGCTTCGCACTTGGCTCCTGAGCTCTGTATCCAGCTTCTGGGCCTGCATCTGGCTCTGTGCTCTGCCTCTGGCTGCTAGACCTGCACCTGCCCTTTGACTATGCACCTGGCTCTGTGAGGCCTGCACCTGACTCTGGACCTGTGCCCATCCACTGTCTCTGCATCCGCATCTGTGAGGTGTGGGGGTCATCAAATATGATCTGAAGTTCCTGTCCCCTCATTCTGTGCTCTGCTGCTGGCCACTTCTAGATCTTCTGGGCAGCAGAAACTCTGCACACTGGTCCCCACTCTGAGCAGCACCCTACCCCACTGCCCATGTCCACCTTTGTGTGTGTGGTAAAGATGAGGGGACTCTGGCCTCTGGCCTAGCACCCAGAGGGTCCACTGTGGTGAAATGTGGGCATCCTAACTTCCTGCCCATGCATGTGCTTGGGGAGGCTAAGTGAGCACCAGAATGCCTCTGGCTGCCCACTTATGGGTGGAGGCTGAAGCATGGTGTACAATGGGATGGGGATGGCCATAAGCCTGGAGTGGCCACAGCAACCCAGAGTGGTCAGGGAATGTGCCCACAGGAGACAGGACATGATGTCCAAATGTGGGCAAACGTGACCTCACCATTACTGAGGAACATTAAGAATTGTCTCCTGGAGCCGGGCATGGTGGTGCACGCCTTTAATCCCAGCACTCAGGAGGCAGAGGCAGGTGGATCTCTGTGAGTTCGAGGCCAGCCTGGTCTACAGAGGGAGTTCCTGGACAGGCTCCAAAGCTACACAGAGGAAAGAATTGTCTCCTGGAAGTGCAAGGGCAGAGCAAAGGGAACGAACTGGTCAGGAAGAGGAAGGCAGTGTCTCTACAGGGATTCCTGAGTCCACTTAGCAGCAGGGACAGTGGAGGCCACCTCATCATGAACACATTACCCTGGAGTCATGTGACAAGGAAGATAGCTTCCCATGGTGGCCTTTGCCAGGTGCCAGGTGCCTCCATGTTCTGCTGCCTGGGGGACCAGCCCTCAGCAGTGCAGGGCTCGAAGGGAATTCATGGAGTTGGTGCACTATGACTTTTTTTATCTGAGGAGGTAAGGGAAAAGACACTCACACACTCTTGATGGTTTCCTTCAGACCTTTTCTTTATTCTTCTTTTGTATTCTGATTCTGTATTCTGTCTCTTTATTTTTCTTCTACAACTATATATCCTAACAAAATCTTCCAGGCAATATAGAAATTACAATGTGGTTATACCTATCTTTCAAGTGAATGATTATAATGAATACATATAAAAACATGTTTTTCATCTCCCTTACATGAGTAAATCAAAGTCATCCCAAGAACCCACATACATTGTTTTAACTTTTAAAACAATCCGTTAGCTCTACTTTAAATCTTTAGGGTGTATACCCATTCATCAATAGTTTGTTTTTTTTTTTTTGATTTTTCGAGACAGGATTTCTCTGTGTAGCTTTGCGCCTTTTCCTGTGACTCACTTGGTAGCCCAGGCTGGCCTCGAACTCACAGAGATCCCCCTGCCTCTGCCTCCCGAGTGCTGGGATTAAAGGCATGCGCCACCACCGCCCGACAATAGTTTTTTATATCAGGAGACTGAGGATAAAAATGTGTACAAGGAACTGATAACCAACCAATCCTATCAGGGAAGTACATCAACTAGTAATGACGGGGCTGCTTTGTATTTTTGACCCTCACCTGAAGAATCTATAGCTCAGCTATGTGTCCTTGTGAACTTCAGATTGTTTTCTAGGGTTTTTCATCTCAAGGCTATTATCAAAACATCTGATCTAACCTAAAATTATTTTAAGGCTTTGTTTCAGCTATGATGTACACCAAAACCTGTGAATGCATCTTTCAATATTAAGATTAAAAGAATTCTAACCAGCCTGGCTCCTGGGGACTCCACTGTTTTCCTTAACCTGAACTGTGATCTATGCAGCTCCTTAGGTGAAACTCATGGGCCCTAACTGGGTGACACTTCATTGTATTTATTTTTAATCATCAAATTTAAACTCTATTTAAACTAACATTATTATTATCAATTAGACAGTACAGTTTAAGAAGAAATCATCTTCACAATAATGCACAGGTAAAAATGCCCAGTAGAACGGGATGTATCCATGAGATAAACACACTACCTTACAGGCAGTGGGGATCTCCCCACACCCATTCACACCATGCCAGATACCAGAGAAAGATGGCAGCGGCAAACATGTAAAGGAACACCAGAAGCAAAAGGCATTCTGGAGTCTGTGGTCTTGGAGTCTTGCCTATCCAAAATTCACCCATCAAGGATTCACCTCCTGGTGGGCTGGCACTTTGAACTTCAATTGCCACCTGCTGCTCTTCTGTCACAGCCATCAACACACAGGACACTGAAGCATAGAAACACCAGGGCACAGCTGGGGGAGCTTTGTGACTGCCACCTCTCAACCCTGCCCTACTGGGCCCAGTCCTGAGTAGCAGGTGCAGTCTCTATGTTGGACTGGTGTCTAGGAACATGTCTAGTGGACATGTTTCTGAGGAAGCTTCACTATCAACTTGACACAGTCTAGAATCATCTGAGAAAGGAGTCTCAAATGAGGGATTGCCCAGATCATGTTGGCCTGTGGACATGTCTGTGGGAGATAATCTCGAGTGTTAGTTGATGTAGAAGGGCCCACTGTAGGTGGCACCATTCCCTGGGCAGGTAGTTCTGGCTGTATAAGAGAGCTAGCTACTCACTCAACAAGAGCGAAATCATGCCTGGTACTGGAAACCTAGCCAAATACCCAGGGCTTGTGAAGTGTAAACCAGCATAATCCCTAACTACATTCCAAATGTTTATCCTTATACTCACAGATACATGTAGTTCTTATCCCTCATCAAGGAAACTTTTTGCAACAGACAATAATAGGAAACAGATCAAAATGCAGGGTTGTGGAGTCCAGTCCCTACTGATGCATCTATAACACACTCCTCCACCTACAGCTCAGGGGTGATTTCAGAAGAGTGAGTGGAAAGACTGTAAGAGCCAGAGGAACAGGAAGTTTGCTGTGAGAGTGTGTCTACTAGAAATGCCATAGAAGCTACACCCCTGAAGTCTCACTAACATGGCTGCCTAAATGTGAGCTGAACAAGGACAAAACCAGTAGATGTGCTAAAGTGACCTTGATCCTATGCAAAGAACTACAGGCAACTAAGGAACACTGTGAGTAGGAAAAATAGTCTTCCCCAGGGAAGAACATACCAACTGGTTATCCAACACCAAAGGGTCAGCCCTAAAAGCATATCTATACAAATAGCATTATATGAAGTGAGCAGGTTGTATTTATATATTCAGGGATAAGTAGGTAGGTAGGTAGGTAGATAGATAGATAGATAGATAGATAGATAGATAGATAGATAGATGATTGGTAGATAGATAGATAGATAGATAGATAGATAGATAGATAGATAGATAGATGACAAATGTGTGTGTGTGTGTGTGTAACAACAATCACAGAAAAGGAGATCATGGGTTTGAATGAGAGCGAAAAGGTATATGAAAGGGGTTAGAGTGAGGAAGGGGGAGAGGAAAACGATGTAAGTATATTATTATTATCTCAAAAAAATAAATAAATAAAGCTAGCTAAGCATGAGTAGGCTATGTCCCTCCATGTTTTCCACTTCAAGTTCCTGCTTGAGTTCCTGGCCTGACTTCCTTTAGTGATGGACTGTGACCTGGAAGTATAAGTCAAATAATTTCTTTCCCTAAGATGCTCTTGGTCAGAGGGTTTTATCACAGCAACCAAAAGAAAACTAGCACATGTAGGCACTGGTCTTCACCTGTCTGAGGCTCCCTGAGGAGTCAGCCTCAGTTTCTCCAACTTCAGAATTTGCTGAATACAGGGAGGGCATCGGTCAGGCATCCAAGTGTAAACGACCCATCAGTGT